TCGTATATCACTAAAGTGTGTATTATAAACATTGAATAAAGGGTTATTATGAACAACGTTTCGCTGCTTAGCGCGTCGTATATCACAAAGTGTGTATTATAAACATTGAATAAAGGGTTATTATGAACAACGTTTCGCTGCTTAGCGCGTCGTATATCACAAAGTGTGTATTATAAACATTGAATAAAGGGTTATTATGAACAACGTTTCGCTGCTTAGCGCGTCGTATATCACAAAGTTTATGGCATAGGAAGGTGAAATTTTACGATAATGTTAAGGGTATCTTGGAGATGCGAATGCCATAGCTGTCACATGTTGCCTCTAGGGGCGCCACTGTGGTTTATTTCGCATATTTCACAGCGCAGCACATTCAACCAACATGAAACTGGCAAGTGTGGAAAGAGGTCAACTGGTGAAACGTTATTACACCAAAGGATGCGAAGGAGGTTATTGCCAGGAAATTGGGTAAGATGCGTAATATCCTCAGAGAGCCTTGTTAGATGTTTTACTGTATGCAAGTTAGTAAAAGCAAATAATGAATAAATAAAAAACTACAACAGAGGAAACAGGTTGCACCTGTGATATGCAACGTGAGTGCAAACCACCGGCTCTTACTAAAAACATCACTGTGGTCAGCCATGTTGTAGCAGAACAAGCCAGCACAAGTGTACATGAATGTAACAGTGCATCTAATGTTGCCCAGTGTCTGCAGTTATCAATCTCGATTGTTTGTAAAGATCTTCGGTCGACTTTGTGAATGTTTATTTACAAGGTGCATCATGTTTAAAACGTTGAAGGCGACAGATTTATCCCGAAGTGTTGATTTTGCGTTGCAGTTATTAGCAAGACCAATGTCCTGCCAATATCTTATGGGCTGATGAAACACACTTCAACTTTCCTAGAAGTGTCATTATCTTATGGACTGATGAAGCATTATTCAATCTTTCTAGAAGTGTCATTATCTTATGGACTGGTGAAGCACACTTCAACCTTTCTAGAAGTGTCATTATCTTATGGACTAATGAAGCATTTTTCAACCTTCCTAGAAGTGTCATTATCTTATGGACTGGTGAAGCACACTTCATCCTTTTTAGAAGTGTCATTATCTTATGGACTAATGAAGCATTTTTCAACCTTCCTAGAAGTGTCATTATCTTATGGACTAATGAAGCACACTTCAACCTTCCTAGAATTGTCATTATCTTATGGACTGACGAAGCACTCTTCAACTTTCCTAGAAGTGTCATTATCTTATGGACTGATGAAGCATTTTTCAATCTTCCTAGAAGTGTCATTATCTTATGGACTAATGAGGCACACTTCACCCTTTCTAGAAGTGTCATTATCTGATCGAACATTAATCCACATATAACATTTCCTACACACCTACATGATACTAAAGTATTAGTGTAGTGAGCTTCACAGCTGACTTTGGTATTGGACCACACTGTTTTGATGACCCATCAGCACATGGACTACAAACCTGCACAGTTAATGCTGCACAGTACCCTGCAGTGCTCACATTCCCATGCTGCGGTAACGAAATGTAATAGAGCACCATGGTTATCATGCAGGATGATATCTCTCATCATATTGGTAACCAGGTGAACACGCTTTTTGAGGGGGGAGGACATAATCAGGATAGAATCATTCACGTCCTTTTTTATTTGGGGGGGGACCTGGAGTCATGCCTTGCACAATTCCAGGTTTTAAAGATGTAATTCTCTGGGATGCGACCCAGATGGAATTATTACCGTAATGTCTGTTTTCAGACAGATGCAATGCGTTCTGAACACTGGAGGAGCAACAATTTGAACGGTTGATGTGACTGAGCAGACACTGAGTCATAGTGGTGCCCTCCCCCCCCCGCCCGCTGACAATGCGTGACAACTGTGGTACTTGCATCGTCGTGGTATTCTCAAGAAAGCTGTGCAATTTCGTCTTAACATGCCATAATACCATTCGTGAGACATGACACGCTGAACTTGCGAAACGTCTTTATAACCACTTTGTCTATAATCAAATTATAAGTTTTTAGTCGTTAGAATATCGTGTATACAAAACGGTAATTACCGTCTCTACAACATGAAAAATCAAAAGAAGTTTGTAAACAACACTTACCAAATGTTTCGGTTTGGATAATTTAATTTAGCTGTAAAGAATGCACAAACAAACATAGAAAAATAATATTTTAATCTCAACCTCAAATTTTCTTTTTATAACCTTTGAAGAAAGAGATCATTCGCAGTTGAAAATCGCTTGTTTATCTACTTAAAGTTAATGATTTACAGTAATGAAGAATAACAAAAAAATACTCAATTATTTCTCAAGTAAAAGATGCGATTTATTTGATAATTTTACTTTCAATTTGCAAAAAAAAACAAAAAAAAACAATGCGTAGAATGACATGTGAGCTTAAAAAGTAGCTGTGAAACAACATTAAATATTATAGACATTGTGTAAAAATACGTCATTTTCGGCAGTAAAAAGGCTTACAGTAATCTATATGTAGCTGGAGAATGTGCAAAATTTATGGTATTTATGCTACGAAGATGTAATACGGTCACACAGATGTGAAAGCTTAAAGTTGCCACCGTTAAAAACAAACAAAGGCACGGTTCAAAAAAAGCTATTTCTGTGGACGTTGTAGTATATTGAATGATAACGGCAATTTTGTGTGTTAATTTTCTTGAACCTTACAGATGAACGTGACCATCGGACGTGCGAGTGACCTGGTCAGTTTCTTGACAGCCGCGGTGGATTCTGGTATACAGGGATTAATATACCCCGTTCACTTCGTGTTAACTTCCTTGCATCGTTGTATATCTTAATAATGCTTTAATACTAAATCTTGTTTTCTTATTATCATAAGTATAACTCTTAGTTTACTTTCTATTTAAAAGTGTTCTCTGTTGAAAAACGTATGTGATTAAGATGCTCAAACATTGCCATTGTAATGCATCGAACATTACCATTGGGAGACACCAAACATTATTGTCCGAACACACCGAACATTACTATTGGAAGTCAACTAGCATTATTGTCCGAACACACCGAACATTACTATTGGAAGTCAACTAACATTATTGTCCGAACACACCGAACATTACTATTGGAAGGCAACTAACATTATTGCCCGAACGCACCGAACATTACTAATGGAAGTCAACTAACATTATTGTCCGAACACACCGAACATTACTATTGGAAGTCAACTAACATTATTGTCCGAACACACCGAACATTACTATTGGAAGTCAACTAACATTATTGTCCGAACACACCGAACATTACTATTGGAAGTCAACTAATATTACCGTTCGAACACATCAAACGTTACCATTGGAACAAACTGAACACCGAAAATTATCAGCCTTGGGCTGTAATTAAACAAGATAGGCACGTCGAACCACGTATGGATTCGTTATAAACAAAGCGAGTGAATTAAAACTTCAAATTCTAGTTGTCCACTCAACTAAAATAAACCCGAAACTTTTAAAGGCATCTATTTACCTACAGTCCGTTTGTTTGTTTATTTGATATGAATTTCATGCAAAGCTACACGATGGCTATCTGCGATAGCCGTCCCTAATTTAGCAGTGAAAGATTAGAGGGAAGGCTGCTAGTCATCATCATCACCCACCGCCAGCTCTTGTAATACTCTTTTACCAAAGAATAGTGGGATTGGCCGTCACATTATAACGCCTCAACGGCTGAAAGGGCAAGCATGCTTGGTGGGGCGGGGATTCGAACCCGCGACCCTCAGATTGCGAGCCGAGTGCCCTAACCACCTGATCATGCCGGGCCCCTCGCCCCCTACAGACCAAAATGTAGTTCGTGTCTATGACAGCTTGACTTTCTTAAGTAAAGTCATTGTCAGTCCGTGTCCAGAAACAACAACAACAACAACCTTCTTTCCAACCGTTGACTATACGTTCCTCTTCCATCAGATCAGTATGCAGACAACTAACGAAGAACTATTAGGGTCGGGTTTGAATGTGACATCTTTATTTATCGACAACTGACTAAGACTAGAAACTATATTCAAAGAGAATGGAAACAAAAAATATGCTGGTGTTAAAGAAATATAATCATCCAATATACTATAAGTTTGATTCGGAAATTGGTTCTGATAAAGTTTATACATTCATCCAAGCAACTAAATGTAACTAGGTTTGCAGGGGAAAATCATGAAACAACACTGTCAAACGTTTATCTCAAACACTCTCTAGAGCGTCGGAAACAAGGCCGACGTTGGATTACGTGTTAGTCTAGGACGAAGGTCTTACGAACCCCCCCCTATTATTTACGTAAAAAAAAATGATTCTTTTATTTTATTTCATTAGATAATTACGTTCATTAAACATTCGGAATTAAACTCACATACCTGAACCCTAGCCTCCGTGAGGTCTGTTTTCATCGCAATCTCTTCACGGGTGTAAATGTCTGGGTAATGCGTTTCCTGAAAGGCCCGTTCCAGCTCCTTTAGCTGAGCGCTCGTGAAGGTAGTACGGATACGGCGTTGCTTCCGCTTCTCGGTCAACACGCCTTCGTGCCCGGGATACACCTTATAAGTTAGGCCTGCCGTTGGGAAGGACCGGGGGTAACCTGATGAAGAAAATTACAGATGATAAATGTTTTTAAAACAGAATGTTAGTGCACCACATAAACAGCGAACATGTAAACAGAATGTTAGTGCACCACATAAACAGCGAACATGTAAACAGAATGTTAGTGCACCACATAGACAGCGAACATGTAAACAGAATGTTAGTGCACCACATAAACAGCGAACATGTAAACAGAATGTTAGTGTACCACATAGACAGCGAACATGTAAACAGAATGTTAGTGCACCACATAGACAGCGAACATGTAAACAGAATGTTAGTGCACCACATAGACAGCGAACAAGTAAACAGAATGTTAGTGCACCACATAAACAGCGAACATGTAAACAGAATGTTAGTGCACCACATAAACAGCGAACATGTATAATCTGTGCATATTATGTTTAGTGTTGCTTATAGCGATCTACTTACACAAAATAAACCATATAAACGCAACGTGAAGAAAACGTACAATTCAAAACACTAATAACGCAATTTGAATAGCAAATGTACTCTTAAAAACCATAGTAACGTAAGCTGAACAGAAAACATAAAATTCAAAACACTAATAACGCAATTTGAATAGCAAATGTACTATTAAAAACCATAGTAACGTTATTCTAACAGAAAACATACAATTCATAACACTAATAACGCAATTTGAATAGCAAATGTACTATTAAAAACCATAGTAACGTAAGCTGAACAGAAAACATACAATTGAAAACACTAATAACGACATATCTATACTGAAAATATAACTTATCAATGGAAACGATATAAATTAAAAGATAATATCTCAAAGACAGTTTCAGAACTGATGTCTTCACGGTATTCATACACTTGAGAACACAAGTAACTAAACTACTCTTGTTTTAACGTTTAGTCTGTCTTCACGGTATTCATACACTTGAGAACTCAAGTAACTAAACTACTCTTGTTTTAACGTTTAGTCTGTCTTCACGGTATTCATACACTTGAGAACTCAAGTAACTAAACTACTCTTGTTTTAACGTCTAGTCTGTCTTCACGGTATTCATACACTTGAGAACACAAGTAACTAAACTACTCTTGTTTTAACGTTTAGTCTGTCTTCACGGTATTCATACACTTGAGAACTCAAGTAACTAAACTACTCTTGTTTTAACGTCTAGTCTGTCTTCACGGTATTCATACACTTGAGGACACAAGTAACTAAACTATTCTTGTTTTAACGTTTAGTCTGTCTTCACGGTATTCATACACTTGAGAGCTGAAGTAACTACACAACTCTTGTATTAACGTCTAGTATACCTTCACGGTATTCATACACTTGAGAACACAAGTAACTAAACTATTCTTGTTTTAACGTCTAGTATACCTTTACGGTATTCATATACTTGAGAACTCAAGTAACTAAACTATTCTTGTTTTAACGTCTGGTATACATTCACGGTATTCATACACTTGAGAAGTCAAGTAACTAAACTATTCTTGCTTTAACGTCTGGTATACCTTCACGGTATTCATACACTTGAGAACACAAGTAACTAAACTATTCTTGTTTTAACGTCTAGTATACTTCACGGTATTCATACACTTGAGAAGTCAAGTAACTAAACTATTCTTGCTTTAACGTCTGGTATAGCCTAGAATAAGGAAGCAGTTAATCAATACAATTCCTAAATGAAGTTGTTTGAAACGATCGATGAGCGACAATATTTTTTTAAACTTATTCGCACGTGCTTGTGTAGGAGATGATATTCTGCAGCAGGCTGTATGTGCCTGTCTCTCTGTCTGTGGCATAGAGAAAACTGTATATGGCACGATGAAGTTAAGAAGTGGGTAACTTCAATAGTAACCAGACGATTATATTAAAAAGAAACCAGCCATAGCTACACCAGTGAACAATAATTTCATACGAAGTTTAAATTATCAGAGAAAATAAGTACTCCAATTTATGACGTATTTTGCCAAGAAAGGTGGGAATTTGGAAGTTCGAGGCCTATATGACATGGAGATCGAATAATCTTCAGTGATCAGTACTCAGTTTAATAAATACAGAAATCCCGAACAGGCTTGAAAAATACTCACTATTCAGAGGCTCTCATTCCCACTGACCTGCCATTTGTAGTTTAAACTGAACTTGAGGCTCTCATTCCCACTGACCTGCCATTTGTAGTTTAAACTGAACTTGAGGCTCATTCCTACCGACCTACCATTTGTAGTTTAAACTGAACTTGGGGCTCTCATTCCTACTGACCTACCATCTGTAGTTTAAACTACACTTGAGGCTCTCATTCCTACTGACCTACCATCTGTAGTTTAAACTGAACTTGCTTTATCTGTCGCCAAAACTTCAAGTAAAAAATAAACTTACAGGCTTAAATTCCGTTACTTATTTTAGTTATGGAATAAAAAAAACAGCAACTTACAAATACAACGAAAGTTATCTGTTTTGAAATAAACTTCATCTGCGGTACACTGCTACGTTTATAAGTTAAAGTTAAACGCAAGGCCCTCTTTTAATGGGACATTTAGTACCTGAATAATAGTCAAATACGTCCAGGAGAGTAAACTCCCACAAATAATGACAACGTGAAACGCGTATAAAACCAACATTTCCTTATAATAGCGGTGAAGTATCAATCTTACTTGTTAGAGTTTTTGTAACTTAAAGATAATAATAATAACAAATAGATTATTTTAGAATAATATCATTTTATATCTCAAAAACATCCGTGTTTTATATCTTTCGCGTGTTATTTTGAACGCTTTTAACGCATAACTTTTAACTGCTAACTAATATCGCTCATTCCTAGTGTTATGACTGTTTAAGTTAAATTAAGACTTTTCACTTGGAGGTTTATGTGCTAATTTAAGTTAAAGTAATGTGGTAGTAAGGCTTCACTGTGATGGTTAGCTGCTCTGCCAGGAAAGCTGCTACTCAAAGAGTGGGGGATAGGTAGCTCCGTTGTAAAGATTGCAGAAAATAAAATATTAGGCTATCGACACAGAATTGTACCCAATAAAATATGTTAAAACGTGTGAAAAGATCGGGGGGAAAATAGCTTACGAGAGCGTAAGTAAATACAAGTTTTAGCTGAGAATATGAAAGAAAACCTAAAAAAACTAATTCCGGTAAAAAATTCCATCTTCATACCATTGTAGGCCCGGCATGGCCAGGTGGTTAGGGCGCTCGACTCGCAATCTGAGGGTCGCGGGTTCGAATCCCCGTCACACCAAACAT